TAATAAGTACTTTGATCTCCCAAGTTCCACTCCTAATGCAACAGAAATGTGCTACATAATCCAATAGTCATATCTATTTATACTCATTTAGTAAGTAAAATAAAATTATGCTTTGCTAATCTTAAAGTTTTAGGCCTGGATTTTACTTTATTTCTGCCTGTGTATACTAGATATTTGCAAAAATTTGAAAAGAGATTTCGGCTATTTACCAGATGCAAGAGAAAAAGAAAATTCAATACCTGAATATACTAGAAAAATAAAATGGTGCCAGAGATTAAACAATCACTGATTGTAATATAAATAAGTTGAATTTGGTTGCTAAAACACTAGATAGAAATGACTGCAGTAGCATTATCGTAGAAGAGAAGAGGTATAGAGAAGACAGGATATATATTAGCTTTCACCAAAATTTTGGACATAATCCAAGTCAGAACATCAAAAACATTTTTTAAAGAAACCTTCGGTTTATCAGAGTTGGCTGTTTCCGAACAATTGCAAAAATTCACATGATGGCTGAAAAAATCAGAAAACTAGACACCAACTATCCCGCATGTTAAGGAATAAGATTTGATGGATGTCAACAAGCAATCAATCCGTAAATATTTGAGTATCTTCAATGTGTAATGTCAGGCTCTGCCAAGATTCCTATTCTGTAAATGTCTCCTCCACATTTGGATTTTTCCTTCTGTGGCCATGTAATTTTCTTTCCCCCTCCATTTGTAGCATTTTTTCTTTTTTTTTCAACGTTCTGGGTCTAATCCCTCTTCTTTACTTCCTATCACCACAGCCACAACTTAGTCTTTTAGGGAGGAGATATTCAAGCAGTTCCAACCCAATATTACAGAGATCAGCATCAAGTCACTGTTGCCTATATTCCACTATATACTGTAAACTTATTTTAACTGACCTTCGCCCTTTAGTCTGAGTACTTGTCCTCTTACCCTCCAGTTTGATACCAAAACAACCCTCATCCCTAGCTGTCGATCACATTATCTAGGCATCTCTAGACTAAGACCTAGTCTTTCTGCTTTGCTCTCCTTTCAGGGGATTGGATTCTAATGAGTGGATTTAGTATCAGTTCCTGACTTCCTCACAGTATGCTCTGTACTACTGTAAAAACTGGCTCATATCTGCTTATTCTTAAGGATTTATATGCAATTCCAAAATCTATAAAGAATGCTCAAAGATCTAGAGAATTGTGGGGAGATCTAGTAAGAAGGCATGAAAGATAAATTAGTAATATTAATTTTATGAGACAAAAACCTATGAGATACCTAAAGATAGCTATGATAAGTTTCATATAAGTTAGCTAATCATAACAACTCCCATGAGTCATACTAAGTAGAGGTCACTGATTATGCTGAGAGGAAGAGGTGGGATTTCAGCTGGGCATTACAGCATGGATATAATCGGGAGTAAGAGAAAGAACAAGAAGCAAAGTTATACATCCCATAAAGAACAAAGTGTATACAGGGAAGAGCAAGTACAGTAGGATAGCTATACTCTTATGAACAAGTGTGTAAAACAGAAATAGCACTAATGAAATTTATTAATATTTCCATTCTCATCCATAATTTTAGCACCATGATGATACTATAGCTAAAAAAGAAAACAAGACATCCCACTTTCATATACTTAGATGAAAACGTGTAGCTCAATCAAGGTATCAAATAAATCTTGACATACTGACTTATTATCATTAATTTTTGGAATGTATTCTTAGCCACTGGATTGGGTAGGGGACCAACAACGTAATTTTTTTTTTTGGTTTGGTTTGCTTGAATGTTTCCTCACAGAAAATCAAGTAGCATACTTTAATGATGCAGAACATATTAAAAAAAAAAGCAGTAGTAGTTTGTGATTTTAATCCCAGCTCCACCATCTTATTTATCCAACAAGGGGGCCGGCCCCATGGCCTAGTGGTTGAGTTCGGCGCGCTCCACTTCAGCGGCCCAAGTTCAGCTCCTGGGGGCAGACCTATACCACTCGTTGATGGCCATGCTGTGGTGGCAACCCACTTACAAAATAGAGGAAGATTGGCAAAAATGTTAGCTCAGGGCGAATCTTCCTTAAGCAAAAAGAGGAAGATTGGCAACAGATGTTAGCTCACGGTGAATCTTCCTTAGCAAAAAAAAAAAAAATTATTGTGAAGGCTCTGTTCTACAAATATACAAATATTTATTATGAAGGCTTTGGGGATACAGCAGTGAGCAAAACAGACTAAGTCCTGGCCCTCCTGGAGCCTGCATTGAGAGCTATGTCACCTTGGGAAAATTACTAAGTTTTGATCCACAGTCTCCTTATTTGTATAACTGGATCAATATTAGTGATCCTATTAAAAGATAATATATATATTTTTATATATAATAGAATATATTTATATGTTATAAATATATATAAATTGCTTAAAGACATTTAATAGTGTCTATTAAATGATAACTGGTCAAAAATCTATATAATCATCAGATGTAGTTTACTGTATCATATGCTTTTATAATAATTGGTTTAATTTTCATATTTAAGATACATATATTTTCTTTTCAACTGGTTAGAACAGTGTGATAAAGAGGAAAAGGAGCAAGAATCTACATAATTGTAAGTCCTGGTTTCAACACTTAGTTCCATTTACTAGTTATGTGATCCTAGACAAAAATGGACCATCTGTGCATCAGTTTCCTCAACTATAAAATAAGGACAAAATTATTTGATCCACCTATTTCTTGTTCCAAAGAACAGATGATCAGTTTCAAAATGTAAATGGTTAAGAAGTATATAAATAAAAGTTAATTTACCTCCATCACATACCATGCTCTGTGTCTGAAAATTATAAATGCTTGTTATTTGGAGATATGTAGAGGGAGGGAGATACTAGAAGTCTCTTCTTACATGGATCAAAATTACCTAAGAATTAATGCACCTTACACAAAATGAACCATTCTTCTCTTTCCCACTACAGGATCATGCCTTAATATCTCGAAACATGTTTGAAGATATCAGCTTAACTCTGCCATTTTGCACAGTTTTGGAAGATTTTAAGAAAAATAAGAAAATGTTTATTACAAAATGTTTATTAAGAAAAATAATATTTCATAAGTAAGACTATCAGGTATAAAGCTGTGTTATCTACATAAGTCTATTTTTGTCTTTTACTGCTTTTGATGGGAACCTAGACTGATGAGTGAAATGAGACAAGAAAGAAAGAGGCAAAAAGATATGATAAGGAAAGAAGTAAAAATGGCAGAGAGATAAAAGAATTAAAGAAAAAAAGACAAAGAGAAAGAGAGCAGATCTTAACAATAAAGCAACATAAAAAGATTTTTTTCCCTTGGTGTAAGAAAAAAATAGATGCAGTGATAAACAAAACAGATCTGAAAAACAGAATAAAGAAAATGCACACATACAAGAGAACAAAAGAAAAAATCAAAGCAATGGTGACAAGATAAAGAGAAAATAGAAAATAAGGAGTAAAACCTACAAGACAGATGTCAGAAATAGATGCTTAATCTGTACATATTATAGGCAAATAAAAGAAACTGTTTAAAAAGAAATAAAAAATTTAGTACACAAAATCACTTTTTCTTTGCATTTTATATAAGCAATGATTTGTATATTTCAAAAAGAAAAATCTTATATTCATATTTTGAAGCTGGATAACAGAGGTGATTTTTTTTAACTCTGTCTTAAGATGGTGGTTGACAGACTGGATCATATAGAAGCTTAGGACAACCGATATAGAAAGTGACATCACGACCCTGATGCCATGATAGGAAAGAAAGGCAGTAATACATTACAACTACTTTAGAACAAGCAAGCTACTTATTGATTCCAAATCTAATAATTGTTTTTGGTTTTCAAATAATATATTAAATAGTGAGATGCTTTTCAGAGATTTATATATTGTATTCTGCCTAACTTGCTTGACTCATTCTATCACATGCTTTGGGTATTCTTGGTTTGGATACATTTTTTTTCGGGTCTTGAGAATTTATATGCTGCTTTCACTACGGCTAACTGTCATAACTTACTCATCAGACTCACCTATAATCAAATGTCCTGAATGTTTGGAGTACAATTCCCAAAAGTATAGTGATTATGCCATGAACTAGAAGTATAATAGAGAAAATAACTTAGAAAGCCATCTATGTCCCCTCAAAGGTGGTATGAAATATTTTATTAATGAGCTTCTAAAGTAGATGTAAAAATAGCTCAAGTTGAATATCTGAAACTTTACTACTATCTTACAGCATAATACATAAAATGTAATTTTTTTCTATGTTTAAATGTTCTGAATTGCTCACTTCTGAAGAACATATCAATTTACTTACCCCGTAGCATTTTTGACATGCTTTATTATTAAATTATATTTCTAGTTTCCATAGTAAGGCTTTGAAAATTGCATGAATCTGTCTCATATATATTATGTACAGTATGTATATCAAGCAGAATGTGTCAAAGTGCAAATAAAATTGTTTGTGCCCCTTACAGAATTAGAACTCCTCGGGCAGCACTGCTGTAAGGATCCCACGCTGCTAGCATTACAAAATGCAAAGGTTCACTGGGTAAGAAAGGAGCAAAGGACAGAGTTCCCTCATTACACTATCCCTAAACTATTCTAGCTTAAATATATATTAAAATATTAATTACTCTTCCTCCCTCCATCTGCCTTCAGAAGTTAGGCTGAGACACTGTGGATGGATGGTTGCTCGTAGGAAAACAACGAATTCAAACTATTACAACCCAAGATGAAGACTGATGTTTTGTACAGTGCAGTATTAATTGCATTTGAAACTTATATAAAATATCACACTGAAAAAAGAATGATGTGTTTTGTAATTTTGAATAAAAAAAAAGTTTCATCCAAGTGATAGGGGAAATAAATGGTTAAAAATGAAAGAATAAACACTGTATTTAAAAAATAAGCAAAATAATTTATATGAAATGAAATCTAAATAAAGTAAAGGAAATAATGAGGGAAAGTAATGATTTTACTTATTACTTACTCTGATATACAACTGCATCATTTCTTTTTCTCTTTGGGGGTTACGATACTTCTCATAGAAATCACGTCGCTTCTTTGTCTCTTTAGAGACTTTATCTTTTCTTTCTCGTTTTTCTGCTGGTTCATCTGAACTATCAGAAGATGACTGCACGTGTATCTTCGGCTTTTCTACTTCAATATAGTTTTCATTGGGATTCAGTACTATTACTCCATATCCTTCCTGTTTTGAAAGCAAAGAAGGTAGCATAATTTAATTTTAGTAAATATTTCAATTCATAAAAAAGTACTTAAAATCTCATAGTAAGTGATTTAACATAGTTGCATATTCACTCAAATATTCCTGTATAAAACATTATACTTTAAATTTTTCCAACAGAAAGTCATTGAAAATTGTTTGCCTGTATTGTGTGTGTAAACAAGCATAGATTATCTATGAGAACAAAAAGACATAATTGTACCATATAGATTATAAAGCTTAAATTTAAAGTACTTCAGATCTCCCAGAATCCCAAAAATCATTGAAATAAATTATCAAATAACAAGTACACTTTCAAACCACATTAATATTTATAATATACATTTTGAGAAAATAACCTCTTTGAAATTGAAGTTTACAATTCAAACCACATTTTGTTGGATTTTCTTTTTTTACAATTAAGCTTTAATGGGCACTTTTTATTTGGTTGAACTTAGAATAAGCAATTAAAAAGGAATAAATCTGATCTAACATTCTACAGATTTACATACCTATATTATTAGAAACATGTAATGTCCACCTGTGCACCTTGGATTTTTGTCACCTTTCTTCTTTCAGGAGGCCACACAAATCATAAAACAAAATAAACTAATGTCTTACTATAATGTATGGAAGCAATTCTTTAATCCTGAAATTTCATTTTTCGACTACCATAAAAATTTCTCTTTATAAAGAACTAGTACTAAAAAACAAGTTTCAAAGTTTAAAATATATCTTATTGAGCTATTAAACTTTTTTTCAGCCTTTTAAAACATACTTTCATGTCTGACAGTTTTAGCAAGGCAAACATTTCTATGGTTATAATTAAGGAAACTTTTGGTATTTATATTATGTTATAATTGATGGAATAATTTAGCCATGAGAAAATAGAGAAGGATAAACAATTACCACTAACAAGCATGTGCAACACAAATTTTTTAAGCTATTTATATCTTATCTTTTCTATTCAATTCTATACTGTGGGTGTCCCAATTTTGCCTTGTAAAATCCTGTAAGGTCATACTTGAAACATGTGTTATATTACGATAAAAAACATAAGAGCTGTAAAAATAGAGCTTAAAAAATCTCATCCTTACTAAAGAAAAGTATATACTTTTCCCAAAACTATTACTGTAGAATCTTCTACTTGAAGTTTAAAATTTAATAATTTTTGCCAAATCAACCATAATAAAATGATTTTAAAAAACTGACAGCAGTAATAATAAGCCATTATAGCATAGACTTAATTATCTTATTTTTAAATATGCTACACTGCTGCATGTAGTTGGTTTTTTTAACAGTTGATTTCACAAACTACGTACAAACTTCATGGAGATTGTTTCAATTTTCCCCCCAATCAGTTCATATTATGGTCTAAAACCATGCTATGATTTGGAGATTTTCAAGATCATTGAAGTTCTGATTTTAGTGATAGGATTGTTAATTAAGATATAGTTGTCTTACCTACACAAAAACTAATAATATATGCCAAACATTAACAGAACACCACATATTTTTCAAATACATGTTCAAATAAAACATTGAGATAAATATCTCTTTCATGAAAGGCTTATAAAATACTTAACAAATTTTTAGATTTAAATGTTCTACATCAAAGCACAAGAGAAGGGTTTGTGTTTTTTTTTTTTTTTTTTAAAGTTTCTTAGCTGGTAAGTCAAAGTTTTACCAACAAAAGATATTTTATTTGGCCCTGCTTTATTCTAATCTGTATAGCTATTCAAAAGTCTTGTAATTCATTGTGATCACTGTCAGGTAGACAGATTGTCACTTGGTGATTTTCTACAGTTGGACACACTTGACTAGTTATTAAAATCACATGTGAAGGAAGTTCCTACCCCTCTTCCTTGTGCCTCTTACAACTTTTCACGCCCTTCTCAAATTTCAGCTATAACTTCTCCTCCCACCAAAAGTAAGTTAAAGAACACTGTTGCACTCTGCTAAACAGGGTGAAATAGAGGCATTCAGTACACTGTCTCTGGCGTAAGGAACATAGTCAAAAAAGGTCACCATAGGCCAAAAAGAAAATTGCCTCCTTACTAGATTCTGTACCGTGAGTAAGTGGTCTCCTGTCATGTTTCTTCCCTGCCTTCTCTGAATGAATTGAACTTTAACCACACACACACACACACACACACACACACACACAGCCTCTCATACTTACACATGAGTTAGAGTTAGCAAGCCCAAAATAGAATCTTAGAATTCTCAGACATGAAAATAGTGATTTACTACATTTTAACGATAATATGAAAAATTACAAACTCAAAGTAACAAAATGAGACTTTAATAAATTGATAGAACATGAGCGTCATCTTTGTACAATGAATGAATTCCAAATAAAGGTAAACTCTTTAGACAAAATTCATAGTAACCAGAATTACAAAACTATTACCTTAATTTATAAGTTAATCATTAGAAATAATATTTTCATAATATCAGGTTTATTCGAGCAGAAGTTTTTTCCTCAACTTTTGGAAATCATGGATTAAAAAATTATTGTGCCTACTTGATTTCAAATGGACTCTGAAATTTGATGTATCCCATCTAAATAAGTATAAAACACAGACGCACATAAATCATCAAAGAAGTAGTATTTGTCTAAGTTATCAATTATGTAACTGAAAATTACATGACTCATTTGTCCAATTTTATAAAGACACAATGTCAATTTTTCACCAAGGCATCAACAAATGAATAATGATTCTATTTTTAAATCACCACTATATAAATCAATTAAAGAATTTTTATCATTTCGATTTCAACAATGAATGTTTCTTTTTAAACACCTGAATTATTTAGAAAACATTTTATCATTTAGATATTTCATACTGCCAATTTAATTAATGGAATAACAATCAAGAAATATTCAGGAACATTTTCTGCAGAAATGAGAGCTAATTTTAATAAATGTTTTTGTTGGAAATTCAATTATCATTCTATAAAAAACTTATATTTTTCAATTAAATTTTTCCTGATAAATTAATGCAATATTCACAGAGACCATTCATAACTATTTTACAATGCGTAGGAGAAAGCTGGAGCAACAAAATAAAGTTAACTATCCTGCTTACATGCTCTAACCACAGAGATGCAGTAAAACTGCATCTTTTCCTGTGTCACATAGAAACATTGTCAAAAAAATCCCTTTATATAATAAAGCTACAAAGATTTTTGCCATGTTGACTTTAATATATGGAAACAAGAAGTCAAAGCAAATAGCCGAAGTAAAACAAAGCAGACACATACCAGCAACTAAATTTAACTGTTGTAAATAGTATAACATCAATTTATATCCTAAAAAATCAGAATAAATATCACTTTAAAAATTCTTTCTATTCTCAGTAACTCAATCAGTACATACAGAAATAAGTAAAACAGAGATCCTAGTTTGAACTTTAACAAATGCACTCATAAAGTTTTACAAATCTACTCTATAAAATCAGGCATCAAATATAATATAAAAGAACTGTGCATTGCCACTCTAATAAAGAGGCTTCCATAACTAATGCTTAAAACCTTAACATTTTATATTGAAGTATTTCTTTTATATTTAATTATTCCTTAAGCACGCTAAATTTCTCATAAGATGAAAAGTTAGGTCATTTCAAATATACACGGAAACTTCTGTTATCTTTAACAAAATAAAATGATCAAACTGATTATCTAACATTCTACAGCTAAATAAATAAAACTTCTGGCATCTTTCATAATGATTTACCCAAATCAATTCCAATATCCAACATTTTAAGAGACAAAGCATACATCAAGTTGTTAATTAACTCATGTTTGATTGCACAGTCTAGTAGAAGATCAAGAAGGTGACTAAGATGACAGATATTGGTAAAAGTAAGCTTTATCTCATTCCATTTTCTATCCTTTTGTAGCTATAACTGTGGTTTCATTTTCAGACCTGTAGTTTATAAGGTATAAACCATGGGATCCTAATCAGAAACCCTCAAAATTTTATTGCTAGACACAGCATTCTATTCGGCACAAGTACTTGCTGTGATTTAAACAGGACACACAGGCCTCCAAGCCTCCTTTATTTTGAAGTCTATAGATGCACTTACTAATAAATAATAGTTCATTTATCATTCAATCAACAAATGATGGCTTAGGTCAGAGGTCTAAAACAGACAGGTGATGCCAAACACAAAGAACCAAAGAGGAAACCTTGCTAAAGAAATTCAAGCAGTACAGAAATGTACTTATCAAGAAGATTCTACAAACAGAAAAAATTTAAAAATGCCTGACCAAAAACAGAATGTACTTCTGACCCCAAATGAAACCTTGCTAAAACTGAAGATTTATCCAAGTTAATTTGCCTATTAATTACAAATTATAAGGAAAATGGAAAATAGAAGCAAAGTCTACATCTTTTCAAATCTTTTGTGGTTGGCTAAATAAAAAATCAGCTGAAAGTACTCAGCTCTGCATATTAACCTGCCAATACCTCAAGCCACATGTGACCAAAGAGGTCAGGGGCCAGAGTAGAATCCCTTGACCTCTGGAACTATCCATTTTGGTCTTCAGGCAAGGCTCTGTAAGAGATCATTTTACACAGATTTATCAATCACATTTTTCAAGTTCAGCATTCTGTTTGGTTTGAAAGAAGATAGGTGCTCATCCTCAAGAGAAATGAAACCCAAAGTATTTTATCTATAAACTATATCTACCCATGGTTAAAATGGACAAACTACTGTCCATTCATCTTTTCTGAAAGATGTATGTTGTGTTTATTCTCATCTTTTTCACAAGAAGGGTATGTATATGTCACTGTTGCAACATCCTAGGTGCGACAGTGAGATGAGGTCATGACAGCCAATCAGAAGTCACTAGTGAAGCGTTAAAGTAAACATAGCTGTTTGAGCTCCAGCTCTGCTTGAAAATGCCCCCTCCATTATTTCAGCAATTTTCTCAAGACGTGACCTGGGACTGAAACGCCTGAAATGTCACTTGACTCC